GGCGGGAAAGGATCTCAACAAGGAAAGGGGGGAAAAGATCTTAGGAAGGAAAAGGGGGAAGATCGGGGGGAAAAAAGGCCTTAGGGGGGAAAGGAGGGAAAGGATCTCAACAGGGAGAGGGGGGAAAACATCTTAGGGGAAGGAGGGAAAGGGGAAAAACATCTCAGAGGGGGGAGGGGGGAAAGGAGCAGGGAAAGGGGGGGAAAGATCTTAGGGAGGAAAGGGAGAAGATCTGGGGGCAAAGGCCTTAGGGGGGAAAGGGGAGAAATGATCTCAACAGGGAAAGGGGTGGAAAAGATCTTAGGGAGGAAAGGGAGAAGATCTGGGGGAAAAAAGGCCAACAGGGACAGGGGGGAAAGATCTAAGGAAGGAGAAGCTCTCAGGGGGGGAAAGGCCTCAGGGGGAAAGGGTGGGAAGGATCTCAACAGGGAAAGGGGGGAAACAATCTTAGGAAGGAAAGGGGGGGAAGATCTTAGGGAGGAAAGGGAGAAGATCTGGGAGAAAAGGACTTAGGGGGGGAAGCCCAACAGGGAAAGGGGGAAAAGATCTTAGGAAGGAACAGGGAGAAGCTCTCATGGGGGGGGGGAAAGGCCTTGGGAGGGAAAGGGGGGAAAGGATCTCAACAGGGAAAGGGTGGGAAAGATCTTAAGGAGGAAAGGGGGGGGAAGATCTTAGGGAGGAAAGGGAGACGATCTGGGAGAAAAGGACTTAGGGGGGAAAGCCTAACAGGGAAAGGGGGGAAAAGATCTTCGGAAGGAAAAGGGAGAAGCTCTCAGGGGGGGGAAAGGCCTTAGGGGGGAAAGGGGGAAAGGGATCTCAGCAGGGAAAGGGGGGGGGAAAGATCTTAGGGAGGAAAGGGAGAAGATCTGGGGACAAAGGCCTTAGAGGGGAAAGGGGAGAAATGATCTCAACAGGGAAGGGGTGGAAAAGATCTTAGGGAGGAAAGGGAGAAGATCTGGGGGAAAAAAGGCCAACAGGGAAAGGGGGGAAAGATCTAAGGAAGGAAAAGGGAGAAGCTCTCAGGGGGGAAAGGCCTTAGGCGGGAAAGGGTGGGAAGGATCTCAACAGGGACAGGGGGGAAACAATCTTAGGAAGGAAAAGGGAAAGATCTGGAAAGGCCTTAAAGGGAAGAAGGGAAAGGATCTCAACGGGGAAAGGAGGCAAAGGATCTTAAGGAGGAATAGGGAGAAGATCTCAGCGGGGGGAAAGGCCTTAGGAAGGAAAGAGGAAAGGATCTCAACAGGGAAAGGGGGGGAAAGATCTCAGTGAGGAAAGGGAGAAGATCCCAGGCAGGGAAAAGGCCTTAGGGGGGAAAGGGGGAAAGGATCTCAACAGGGAAAGGGGGCAAAGGATCTTAGGGAGGAAAAGGGAGAAGATCTGAAAAGGCCTTAGGGGGAAAAGGGGGAAAGGAGCTCAACAGGGAAAGGTGGGAGAAGATCCTAGGGAGGAAAAGGGAGAAGATCTCGGGGGGAAAGGGGGAAAGGATCTCAACCAAGGGAAAAGATCTTGGGGAGGACAAGGGAGAAGATCTCAGGGGGGAAAGGCCTTAGGGGGGAAAGAGGGGAAAGGACCTCAACAGGGAAAGGGGGCAAAGGATCTTAGGGAGGAAAAGGGAGAAGATCTTGGGGGGGAAAACGCCTTAGGGGGGAAAGGGCGGGAAAGGATCTCAACAAGGAAAGGGGGGAAAAGATCTTAGGAAGGAAAAGGGGGAAGATCGCGGGGGGAAAAAAGGCCTTAGGGGGGAAAGGAGGGAAAGGATCTCAACAGGGAGAGGGGGGAAAACATCGTAGGGAGGAAAAGGGAAAAACTCAGAGGGAGAAAGGGCCTTAGGGGGGAAAGGGGGAATGGATCTCAACAGGGAAAGGTGGCAAAAGATCTTAGGGAGGAAAAGGGAGAAGATGTCAGGGGGGGAAAGGCCTTAGGGGGGAACGGGGGGAAAGGATCTGAGCAGGGAAAGGGGGGGAAAGATCTTAGGGAGGAAAGGGAGAAGATCCGGGGGCAAAGGCCGTAGGGGGGAAAGGGGAGAAATAATCTCAACAGGGAAAGGGGTGGAAAAGATCTTAGGGAGGAAAGGGAGAAGATCTGGGGGAAAAAAGGCCAACAGGGAAAGGGGGGAGATCTAAGGAAGGAAAAGGGAGAAGCTCTCAGAAGGATGAAAGGCCTGAGGGGGGAAAGGGTGGGAAGGATCTCAACAGGGAAAGGGGGGAAACAATCTTAGGAAGGAAAAGGGAGAAGATCTGGAAAGGCCTTAAAGGGAAGGGGGGAAAGGATCTCAACAGGGAAAGGGGGCAAAGGATCTTAAGGAGGAATAGGGAGAAGATCTCAGCGGGGGGAAAGGCCGTAGGGGGGAAAGGGGGGAAAGGATCTCAACAGGGAAAGGGGGGGAAAGATCTCAGGGAGGAAAGGAAAAAGATCCCAGGGAGGAAAAGGCCGTAGGGGGGAAAGTGGGGGAAAGGGAGGAAAAGGGAGAAGATCTCAGGGGGGAAAAGGCCTTAGGGGGGAAAGGGGGGAAAGGATCTCAACAGGGAGAGGGGTGAAAACATCTTAGGGAGGAAAAGGGAAAAAAACAGAGGGAGAAAAGGCCTTAGGGCGGAAAGGGGGAATGGATCTCAACAAAGAAAGGGGGGAAAGAACTCAGAGGGGAAGGGGGCAAGGGGACAATTCCAAAGGGACGCAAATAAGAGAGCAGGCCTGTAATGTCGGCGGCCTGAGCCGGAGGCGATAAAATATTGGAAAATCAGAGGGGCCACCAATTTTCCTCCTTGAGCCACGGTCAGAGTATGTCTTTGGCTACCGAAAATTTGGGTTGAAGTTTAGTGAGCCTCCCCACAAGTCCCTTTTGCCGCTGTCACCCAAAAGGGAAAATGATTTGTTTCAATGGCTGAAGTATCTGCTGAAAACTTTGAGATACCCTTTCAAGAATAGCCCCCAAAAAAGGTTGATGTCCTGTGGCTTGCCTTGCAAAGCAACGTTCCGTCAATCAAGCATGCTTGTTCCAGGGGGCAACTGTCCAAGGCCCAAGCCAGATCTCAAATTGGTGGTCGAATTCGGAGATTTCGACCCATGGACAAACCGAAAGCAAATCGCAGCGAAGCAGGGTTGGGCAACAAATGTTTCCAACCCCTGGCCCCCTAAAAGGAGCATCCTTCAAGAAGGTGGTTTAAGCAACAGTGGCGTAGTGCATGTTTAACTTGCTAGTCAGAAGGCGAATGAGGGAATCCAAACTGCCCCATCAAACTTAAGTAGTTTGCTGTACGGATCTCCCCATTCCCAAAACCCCGAACTTGGCTAAACCATTGGGGGAAAACCGATGCCATTTTGGGGGTTTCTTAAGAAAAGGCACACACCCACTGTTTAAACAAGGCGTTAAATCCCAGATCCAACCCTGCCGCGACTGGAGATTTTTGGAGTTCTTAGGGCCACCGCCCAGCTCAGGCAAAGGTCTGCATTCACCTGAAACGAAGACGAGTTAACTAGTCTCACTTCCTGAGTGGATTGGTGCAAAAAGTCTGAACTTCTTATTTGCCACCAAAATGGTCTTCCCAAAAAGCTCAAAGTGTGACTTGCTCAAATTCCCCAGGAGCTACGGGGAATCGCTGGTTGCTTTCCAACGATCATTGGAAGCCTCAAGGTCTGGGTTTGTTGCAGCTCGGCTCACTTTTTGATTCCCAAGCCCAAACAGGGTCCCTATATGTCCCTTGAAAACACCACCCCTGCCAAGGGAAACTCACATTCAATGTTTGGAGTGCATCCCCTTTTTGTGCAACCTTCAAGGACAGCTCCCAAAGCCCATTGAATCTTGCCTCCACCAACAAGCGTATACAGACTTGACATGAAAGATCCCGCCGCGTTGGTATTGATATTAGCCCTTACTATACGCCCGCCAAGCCAGTAGAACCATCTACATAGCCAATGAGGGTGTTCGGCGCCGCTTAGCTTTTAGCGTCCCAGTCTAGCGGGAAAATAACTGGTTGCCTACTAAAGGTAACTGGAAGCCTCGAGGCTTGGTTGTGTTGGAGATTGGTTGACTAGTTGATTCTGCCTCACAAGAAACGAGCACCTCAAAAGGGGCCTGGCCGGTTGTGACTTGGTGGCCTTTGAGCAGATGGGTCTTGTGCCCCTCCCATGCATTTTATTGGCTACACTGGCGAATCTCCTCACTTCCTGAGTAGATCGGCCAGAAAAAGTCTACACTCTTTGTTTACCACTATAATATTCCCAAAAAGTTTAACGTCCGAAACGAAACTCTCAAGGCGTGAGTCTCCCCAGGACCTCGCCTGAACCCTGCCCTTCGACCCCTCAGAAAGAACCGGGCCCTGACAGTATTTCCCATGTTCAAAACCCATCCAAACAACTTCCCAAATCACTTTTTGAGGGCCCTCTTTTCGCGGTTCATTGTCTTTAAGAACATCCCAAAAGAGGTTTCCAGGTGTTTCCAGGTGGCTTGAAGGTTTGCCAACCTTGGAGCTTTCAGGTTTGGCTTCAAAACAGCCACCCTATTCCAAAGACGCAACGCCTGACGCCCTGCTAGGAACCAGCAAACTGCGAAGAAGCCGTTTCCTCTAAAACTTCTGATTTGCGCGGTTCCTGAAAATAGAATCGGTCTCCTAACATGGCAACGGTTTCCTTGGGCATCCCTTTAAATCCAGGGCCCACTGGGACATAAGAAATTGGTCATCTATGCCGAGCTTGTGAGGCGTGGCTCCCTGATAAAGTTCAGCCTATGTCCAAGCCAAAAACACCGTGGATTGGTTTTAGAGGGACAACCTGTCCCACCAAAGGAGAGAACACAACATCAAGTGCCCACCGAAAATTCGGGGGATTTGTCAGACGATCTGGGCAGGTTATTAAACAAACTCACCACCCGAAAATAGAAAACAAACAGACCCCTGTCAAAAAATGACAGACTCCTTCATAAGTGACGTCGCAAACCCCCCCCCAGAACCTGACGTCGCGTCTCGTCGCGTCGCCGACCTCGGCATCAACCATTCCCAGCTGGCTCACCTCGGGCATGTCCGCTGGGCTTTCCAGCGCGCCAGCGGCCCGAGACATGGATTCGAACCCCTCAAACATCACGCCCACCGAGGTGAACTCACCTTGAACAACCACCAACAAGATACATATTGTAGGGACCCCAAACAAAAACAGGAACTGCCAAAGCCGGACAGAGTTGTGAGACAGTACGAAAACAACGCTGCAGATGTCTGCTTGGGCGAAATCGTTTCCAAGTCCTGCTTTCAAACCCGTGGCTTGTTGTTTCAAAAGAGAACCATGCAATGAGGGAACCGTTTTCTAGCAAACTCCCTTCCCACGTCCCGCGACCCAAGTTGCCCCGCAGGTCAGGCTTATGGGTCCCTTTTCTGCCATCGGACCCGATTTTCCCCAAAGTCAAAGATCCTATGGGTTGATTGGGGCAGTCCTGGGGAGTCTCCACCCAATCTTCGATCCTTTGGATGGTCTGTGGAAAGTGGCTTCGGCCACTTTCCACTGTTGTTCCGGACCAAATTTAACCCCTAAGGTGGACTGAATTCATTTCCTCTGGTTCCCGTATCTTTTTTAATGCTGCCCCAGCTGAAAAGAGATCATGTTGATCAATCTTACTCCAAGCATAGATTTCTCCTACATTTCCCGTAAGAGGGAGTGCGCTCCCCAGTGATATATTGCAAGCGCCACCTTTTTGGGCCTCCGGCTCTCGTCCCCCGCGGCTTCGGACTCGCGACTCGCACCTGAACGGCATGCCGAAGATCCCTGCCTCCAGTTGACCGGCTTGCTCAAAGGTTCTCGGAGGGAAGTGTTCCAACATCCATAGTGTGTGTGAAGCTAGTCCACTTTCCCTCCTAGGATTCCGCTTCAAGTCGTGAGCATCTCCAGACCACGCAATTGCCCCGGTCCCGTCGCACAGGAGCTCCGTCGTTCCGCTCCGCCGCGAGGGAGGCGTGGAGGGCATCTCTGCTGCGCCGACGCGCCGGGCAATCCACTTGAGGAAGGTTGGACGCGGAGGATCACGTTTCGGAGCCTGTCGGGACCCGTGCCGTGCAAAGCCCCTGATAAAAGGAACCGCAAACCAAGAAATAAACACGGCAAACAAAAGCAAGAGGAACCAAAGCAAAGCAAGACTGGACAAAACACGCAAAACTATCCAACCAACACAACACATATCCATCGAACCACCCAAACAATACAACGACCAATGCAAATAAGTTGTCAGTATCAAATGCCAGCCAATGGCGAAACAGCCATGGGAACTAGGGGCCTAGTTTGCCCCTCGCCTACCAGCACCGGGACCAGGCCGCGCAGTGAGTCGTCGCCGAATTCCGACAGCTTGGAAATAGCCCACAGGATGTTCGCCTTCAGACTTGCGCCCGCTAAATTTGCTGCTAGAGGAACATGAAGGAAACCCAAAGGGCTAAAAACCCACCCAGTAGGTTGGTCTGCAGATCTTCGCTTGGGGCTGAAAGCCATGAGAGCTATTGAGTCTGGCAAGAATTGATTGAATTAGAAAGGCTAAAGGATACCGAAAGCAAAGCGAGGAGCCTTCATGGGGCTCTGCCGGCTTTCCATGATCCAACAACTTGCCGGGCAGATTTGGACAAGTTGACACGCCGGGTCGGCTGAATTTCAAGGAAAACCAACAAGAAGGAAGCGTATTCGGGGGAAAAAGTGTCCAACAAGCTTTTCTCAAACCACTGAGGAAACATGCTGTGGATGGACGAAATCCATTTCGCACCACCGCTCAGAAACCCCGGAATGACACAATTCTCCTGCAAACACCAAGAAACGCTGGTTTCCGCCATGGTTTCGCAAACAGACTTCGTCCATCCAAAGTAGTTTGTAGTACCTGATTTTCTCTTGGGAACCTCTTTTTAGTTAAACAAACAAACAAGCGGGGATATGGAGGGAGCGGGGATATGGGGGGAATTCCCTTAGTCAAGGTGCATTTGGGGCGAATCCTCTCGCATCCCTGGTTGTTTTTCTCGTATCCCTGCTACTTTATATCGGCGAATATAACTCAGTTGGTTAGAGTATCAGCTTGTGGATCTACAGGTCGTGGGTTCAAGTCCCATTGTTCCATTTGTTTATCAATTAAAATTTATGAATGTGTTAGTACCTTTGTTAGTGATTGAAATGATTCAATTAGTTGGTGTCCCTGATTTTGGTCCTTTTGCTTTGGGTCCATTCATCCCATTCAGCTTCCCAGGAAGAACCCGCCCACCAACCAACCCCCCCCCCGTGCTGCTGGGCCGCGACGCCGTCCTCATCCAGCTGGGGCCTCAGCTCTTTGACCCGCGCAGAGAGACTCGGCAGCAGCGGCCCCAGGGAGAAGTCGCCCAGCTCCGCCAGCCTGTCACTTTGCGCGAGTCGAACATTTCGGGTTTGACACCCACCATTGGCTTGGTCGAGCAAGAGTTGCTTGGAGATGTTGAAACAAGGTCCCGGTGAAATGATGGCTTTCTGGTGTAACCATGGCTTAAACATTGGCTTGAACAATAGTTGCTTGGACGTGTTGAAACGTCGATAAGGGAAACCAAATGGACAACATCTGTTCTTTGTTTTTTTTTGGGGGGGGCATTCCAGCAGAAGAAATGATATGAAGCCCTTCAGTAAAACCCCTGAGTGGGTACTGATTGTGGCCCAAGTTCTGGATCGCCGCTGGGCCTGGTTAAGTCCATGGTTGAAAGCTTCAAAAGAACCCAGCGTTAACAATTTAGTTGAACAATACTGTGGATGGACGAAATCCTGCACCACTTTGAAACCATAAGAAACAATTGGTCTTTGGTATTTGCGGGGGAATCATCCTTCCAGAATTTCTTAGGTGGTGCAGGATTTTGTCCATCCACAGCATTGTCGAAATCAACATGTTGACTCGCCCAGTGTTTCACAACAACCTCCTTTGGGTTCCCCCTCTCACGGGTCCGGTCTGGCTACCTGAGCTTCTGGGGTCACGACATCCCAAGATTCCAGGGAACCTTCCTCAATTTATGGACTAAATAAAGCTGGTTTCAGGTTTCCCTTTCCCCTCAAAACATCCCGCAGCTTTACCATGTCTGTGGCTTCCCTTCAAAACAACCAAGAGAACGGGTTTGCCTTCATTCCCCGCCAAACAAGTCGCCATCTCATCATGTAACTGATGTTCGCAACAACAAAAAAACGAGCAGCTATCTTGTCCCCTCACACACTCCAGAGCTCCAAGATGGCCAAGGCTTGCCATTTTTTTCTCCAGACACTTTGCCCTGAAACTTGATGCTTTGCGGCTTTCATTTCTCAATTAATCTTGCTTACCTGTTGTGCAGGACCCAAGCGAAGGCTTCGGCCAATAGCCACAGCTGGGAAGGCGACCAATGTCGCCGCCTGGCGCTGGCCCAAAGGATGTTCTCCACCGCCTGGGCCGTCATCTCCGACCTCCTCGGGTTAAAATTTTCGAGCGAGCGAGCGAGCCATCGGGGCCCTGCCTGAGTTGATGGAGGAAACGTCCAAAAACTTGTTGTTCAACACTGAAAATGGTCCAAAGACCAAACAACAAACCCGAAAAGTCAAGTTGTTTGGCCCAAAAACAAAACAACAAACCCGAAATGGTCCTGAGTTCAAGCCCAAACCCAAAAAGTCTTGAGTCCATGAACTCAGGAAGTTCAAGAAACCCATCCCTGAGTTTCTCCCTGCAGTGGATTGGCAAGTCTGAACTTCATGTTGGCCGCTGCCTCCCAAAGAACGTGACTCAAGTCCAATTCAGGGAGTGCGTAAATCCGTGTTTACCCTGAAGCCCGAAAAAACGCACGGAACATCGCCATGCGAGGCAATATCCCATCGTGGAATTACTTCGAGCTTCGGGTTGGGCCAAACAGGATCAGACGACCAAATTTGAACCAACATGGAAAGAACTACAAATCAAAATAGACAGCTACAAAAATAGACAGCTACAAAACAAACAAACTGGCCAGTGGGCACCTGCTGGTTGCGCACCAAGACCTAACCATAAGGAAGCAGCGAAACCACTGGATCAAAGCGAAAGAAACGCAGTGGTTTCTCGGCGACTATTGGATCGTTGGTCGAAGTTGGACCCAAGGATTCAGACTCTTTGCGATAGTTGGAGGGAAAACGTATCAACTTGCAAAGATTTGAGGAGTGGAAAGTCAAAAAGGCAGCCAAGAATACGATCCCCCTTCAATCCCTGCCCCCGAACGGACAAAGTCGCCCCCCACCCATCCACCGCAGCTGAAAATCAACGAAGAGGCTCAAACATGACACACACACACACACACAGGCACACAGGCACACAGGCACACAGGCACACAGGCACACAGGCACACACAGGAGTCTCTTCTGCATTGTTGGCTCACGTTTGTTTTAGAGTCCTCAACACCCCCATCCTTGGTATAGGCCCTGAAAGCAATCTCCCCCCCCCCGGCACATTGGGTCCCAGTCTGCCGAGCTTCAGCTCCTCTCGGCTTGCCAAGGCGGGCAGCAGGGACAACAAAGGCTCGGCATCCTGCGGGGTGAAGAAGCGATGGTCAGCCTCCCTCTGGTGGGTGTGGGTTCAAACATCTTTTGGGGGCTGGGGGGGGAGGGAGAGGAAAAAGAGGGACCCCAAAAAAGCCCTAAACAAGGGCTTAAAAAGGGCTTAATAAGGGCGTTTTGGGGCTCTCTGCCCCTCCCCTCCCTCCCCCCTAGCCCCCATGAACATCGGGTACTACTTCAAGTTCCTTGCCAACTTAGCAGGTTATAACCTTAAGGTTGCAGCTGGGAAGCTGGGGTGATCACCCCTTTATTATGATTGTAACCTATTAAAGTAGCTTGAACACCCGAGTCCTCCACGAAGTGTGGGTCAAACATGGGGTAAATGCAACATGGGTTGCCCTGAAACATGGAAGCAAGGACTAAACCCGGGGTCTGGCGGATACTGTAGCAATTTGTATCGGTTGATGGTTACGGGTCCCATTTTCCCACAGAACCAGGGGTTCAAAAAACTCCAAACCAATCCAAGCAACCAAGGTTTGTGAGGCTGCCCC